CACAGCGGAACTCCATTTACCTGGCCTTGGTGCTCTCCTGTCGTTGGGATCGGGTATTTCGAGACCCTGAGCCTTGAGCGAATCCAGCAGAGCCTGCGCCCTGGCTCTATCCTCCTTCTGCTTCTTGGTCAAGAGCTTGCCCTCGGCCTTTAGCCGGGCCTTGCGCTCCGCCTCGCGCTGCTTCTTTTTCTCCTTCTTTTCGGCCTCCAGACGCACTGCCTCTAGTCGGGCTTCTTCGCGCTCATCCGCAAGTCGATTGCGCTCCTCCTCGAGTCTCTCCAGGCGCTCTTCCTCCTCCTTGCGCTTTTTCAACTGCTCCTGCATGGCCGCCACCATGGCAGCCGACATGCCCTTCTTTTTGCCATCCTTCTTTTCTTCCTCGGCCTCAGATTTCTTGTCCTTCTTTCCCTTCTTCTTGTTCTTGCCGCCTTTGGCGGTGGCATCCTCTGCAGGGTCTTCGCCATCGGCCTCTGGCTTGTCCTCCTCGTTGGGCTCTGGTTCAGGCTCGGTGACCTCTGGCGGAGGCTTCTCCGCTGGCTTCTGTTTGGGCTCGAGTGCTGCTCTCTGCTTGGCCTGGGCCGCCTCGCGTTTCTGGCGCTCCTTCTTCTCCTTTTTCTTTTGGGCAGCTGTCTTCATGGTGCTGCCGCCATCATCATCATCATCTCCGTCGGCGGCCTCATCGCCGGCATCATTTTCCGCTGGAACGCCGGCTCCAGCTGACTTCTTGTTCTTTTTCTTCTTGGAGAACTCATCGGCTAGCTCTTCGGGGGTGACAACAGCCGGTGCCGGTGCCTCGCCGGCATATTCCGCCTGCAGATCGGCCAAGACCTTGTCCAGATCTTCTTCATCATCATCTTTTCCCTTTCGCTTGGCCTTCTTGCTCTTCTTATCGTTCTTCTTCTGGGCCTTTACTGCCTCCGGCTCTTCCTCGTCGTCGTCGGGAGCGCTCTGCACGGCAGGCGCATCATCGTCGTCGTCGTCCATCAGCAGTTCGAAGGCCGACTTTTTGGCTGAATTGCCTTGGGGTGACGCCTCCTCATCGGAGTCGTTGTCAGCCTTTGACTTCTTGCCCTTGCCCTTGACATTGAGCTTCTTGACGGCTTTGGTCAATGCCTGGACTGCCGCAGCGTCGCTATCCTCGTTTTCAGACACCTTCTTGTTCTTCTTTTTGCCCTTCTGCTGCGGTGCCTGCTGCTGCTGCTGGTTCTTCTTGTTGTTGGCGCTCACCTTGTCGCTGTCCACATCGGAGTCCATGGGATTGCTTTGGCTTTCGCTGTGTGATTGAAATGCGGATGGGATGCAAATTTGCAATTGTTTTAGAAAGTTGCCAACACGGCATTCACAACGCTACTCTACTTACATTTCATCGGCCGAGGAACCGCCTTCGACCGTCGCCAATATCTCTTTCTTGCCCTTTTTAGCTTTAACCATCTTTCCTGGCGTAGTCGCAACACGCTCCTCCTCTGGACACCCACAAAATGCCGAAAGTTATTCACTGCTGAAAATTGCGCACACGCGACGCGATGGCAGCAAAGACGCTGGTACTGGTGCTTGGGCTTTTCCTCCGCAACGGCGGGCAGAACAATGGGGGCTGCTGCTTCTGTTGCTATTGGCGCTTCCGCTGTCGACGGCACCTTGACTTTTCTGTGTTCGCGCAACAATTTGGCTATTGAGCAATTTGGCAAACTGAATGCCAATTTTCGCAAATTTTTCGGAGAAAATGCACACAAACACTACGATTTGTTGCAGCTGATGTTGAGGTTATGTGCATCATATGTTGTTGTTATTCGGGGCAGAGTTGCCGCCAGGGTTTCTTCTTCGTGCGATATTTCGAGTGGTACCAGCTGCTGCGGTATCGATATCGCTGCTTTAAACTAGTATTTTTAACAATGAAGTAAATATGTATAAATAAATATATTAATAATGTTTTAGGATTACTGGACTTTTGATTCGATGTAAAAAGTCATCTGAAATTTTGCTATTTTAGCCAAACACACTGTGCGATATATTTCATTTTTCATCGATATTTCTACCGATTCAGTTTTAAATTCAAAAAAGTATTTACTAGTCTTAACGGATACCTTAACAACTTTAATACACTGTGCTTCATTAAGAATAGAAAACAGATGATGATGCCTTGCGACAAATTGTAGCAATCAGTCATCAGGAAGAGGTTCCTTAAAATCCCATTGCCCTGGTCCTAAGTGGCAGGCCCATGATGATGAAGAGTCGAAGAAAGAAGCTAAAGCTGGTATTGGAAAAAAGAAAATTGAATATACCTACGGACGACCTGTTTTTGGGGCGGTAACATTGAAAATTAAATCAGCTTGGAAAACAGAATATGAATTTTAGTTTCATGAATTATGGTATAAGTATGCCCAAATTCATTACGGATACCTGTTGACCAGCATTTTCAGCGGCCTAACTCAAGTTTGCTATTCAGTTTTAATAAAGGGGGTTTCAGTGTGCTAAGTTCGTATTTCTATGGGTATATTTTGAAAATGAGACGGTATATTTTGGTATACTTAGACGGTATATATAAAGGGTATGGACAACAGACAAAAACAGCCAAGACAAATTGCAAAGTTCATACGAACCTCACCTCGCGAGTGAGGAAAATATACCTTGAAAACAAAATCGGCAAGGTATATTGGGAAAGTGGCGTGGATTTCTCCTTGTCTGAGCAACAAAAATTCTGCCGAATTCAAGTTTTCTGTTCCTCCTCGTTCGACATTTTGTCATTCTGCCATTTTTGGGTATATTTCTGGGTTATTCTAGGATCTTTTCTGTTCGGGTTTTTTTTATAAAGAGTTTCCAGTTTTTTTCGCTTTTTCTTCGCATTGCAGGGCCAGCAGGTGTTAAGTATTTGTGGCTCAAATTTCGAGCGGGTAATCTTTCTAAACTTTACAGCTTGATTTGATAATTTTTTGCCACAATCTCGCAGACTTGTTATTTAGTAACATTCTAGATTCAGAGTCTGGGTTTCGAGTGATTTTGCTTTTCGCACGCATTTCGTTGCCGGCACTGTAAGTGTTTGTAAATTTTGGGGTCGGCTCGAATTTCGCGCGGCTTATTGTGTTTTCTTATCTTCATAGCTTGATATTTGCGGAGAAGGCTTTGCAGAATTTGTCCAAAGAGGCGACCGGCATTATAATCAAAGAAGAGGCATCGACGAGCGGCACTGCACAGGTGCCCATAGACGCGAGCTGTTGCTGTTTCTCAGCCTAAGAGAGAGGGAGATAGAAGAAAAAACGAACGGTACAAGAAAAAGGTACATTGTGACGCGTTTCTAGGTGAGAGTCGCCATGCACGGACATAGCGACTAAAAAGTAGGGGGGGGGGGGGGGGGGGGGGGGGGGGGGGTGGAAGAAAGAGTCTTATCAAATAAAAAACAAACTGTAATAATTAACAAATACTAATTATAATACGAAAGTATGCGAGATCCAAGCGAAAAAGTTACCCTCTGCTTATATTAGAAATGGTCCAAAATGTTTATTCAACGAAATTTTTTAAAATTATTTTTGTCTGTTTCGTATTCTAGGCAAAGAAACCGGAGAATCAGTCGGAAAAGGCAGAGTCGGGTGGAAGCGGGTCGCAGGCAGAGTCCAGCGACAGCCATTTGCAGCCTCTGAAAAGACATAATGCACAACATTATAAAAAGCAATCTAGACATGGACAACAGCAAGGAGAGCCTGACGATAAGTCCTGCTTTAGCCGGCAGGGCGTCATCACCTCTCTGCGCAACAACGGTGGTACCATCGATATGTACATCACCTTCGACGGGCAGGCTTCCAAACATATACATATCAGCTGCCTATCAGCTAGACGTGGGTCGACGTAGTCGAGTATTTGGGGTACAAGAAGGGGGAAAAGGACTCCCTGAAGCAGAACTGGGGAGAACCAGTCACCGAATCAACGGTATGGCCTGACCGATCCAATCCATCCCTAAAGCAACAAATATATCATACCAAATATATAAGTCCCATTCATCCCCTTTCAGATGCTTCGGGATATGTAGGAATTAAAGCTTAAAGGCTCCACCTACTTCAAAACGCAGAAGCGTATCATCCATGGCATGGTCATCGAGCGCCAGAAGTCCACTATCGAACTGTTAACCAGCTCGGGCCGTCAAAAGTATGAATGTCCAGATGACATTTGTGCCAAAGAAGAGCGACTGGGTGACACTCAAATGCGCTGTCCAACTGGACGATGGCTATGTGGACAAGCAGGGGGAAATTCTCGAGTTGCTGAAGGTGTTTCCAGCACGAGGTTGAGCGCTGTTTCCCAGAGTTCGTTGATCTTGGCAACTATGCCTATTTGCTGCGGGAGGCTTTCCCCACTGGTACAGATCTTCACACGGGCGATTACGTCCTGGCGTAAGTTGAATATGATGGGATGAATGGGAACATTAAATATAAATTGTTGCAATAATCCTTACTCCTTCAGTCGAAATTCACGCATCGCGCCATCAAAGTGACCCCGCATCAATAAAGAGAAGACCTATTGCGCCGCTCAGGCGGTCACCATCACTGACCCAAACCGCTCCATAACCACCGAGCTGTATGAGAAGCGTAAGATCACCCTCCAGGTACAAAACAATACGAATCGCAAGTTGGAGCTTCTGAAAGTTCAGCTACAGAATGGGGCCTAGTCATATATGAGTGTGATCGAGCCAATTGCCAAGACCAGTATTTCTGTTGACGACAGCCTATTGGTGATCCTTGAGGTGGAGTTCCGCTGCATCGGCGAATGGGCGGAGAAATATACCCTGCACTTCGATAATTTTAAGGTGGAGCGCATTTTCAAGATCGTTGCCTGCAAAACACGTCGGCCTGCAGGCCGTCGAGGCCGAGCACCATCTGGTTGCGACCGAATGTTTGGTGATGCATTGGCGGCTTTGAAGTTCCAGAGATTCTGCGCAATGTTTACCTGAGAGAATCCCAGGTCGATGACCTAGAGAGATTGTATCCGTGCTCGAAAGAGGCCCTGTGCATGGCCAACTATGTTCAGCGCTTCTGTTTCTTCTTGCATCTGGAGGAAATGGAAGTGCTCATTAGAATTTGAAGATTTTACAGACACAGGGCTCACATGAAAAGGGAAGGGGAGTACCTCTCCCTCAAAATCGAGTAGGGAAGGGGAGTACCTCTCCCATGGGCGAGCAGTCTTTAATATCCTGCGGGGCGAGGCCAAGAACCTGCCGTACGTGATCTTCGGTCCGCCCGGAACCGGCCAGACCGTCACCCTGGTGGAGGCGGTGCTGCAGATGGTACAAAATCGCATCTTGCTGGCCGCACCCTCGAACATTGTCGCGGATCTCATTACCAAGCTAATCATTGCCAGCAAAGCGCTGACCACTGGCGAATTCATTCGAATCGTCCGGCAAAGAACTCATTCCACCCGATCTTATGACCAACTGTGCCACCTTGGACATATGCGCCAAAGAAATCGCTGAAGACACCGTAAGTACATTCCATTCCATTCAGTTCTTCTAAAGCAATCTGTAACTCTGAATCTCCCCATCCCGCTCAGATGCTAATCACCAAGTCGTGTCTGAAGCTGCGTCGCCACAGAGAGATTTTGGGTGCCCATCGCTTGATCATCGGCACCTGTGCCACCCTGGGAAACCCTATGCCGATGTCATTTCCGGGCGGACACTTCACCCACCTGTTTATGGATGAGACTGGCCAGTCGACCGAGCCGGAGACGCTGATGCCGGCAGCTCTGCTTTCCAAGGATCGGGGTCGGGTCATCCTGGCCGGTGATCCGCATCAGTTGCAGCCTGTAGTTCACAGCAGCTATGGACGTGCCTGTGGTTTCGGCACCTCCATGCTGGAGCGCCTGCTGAACACTCGAACTATCGGACCCTGCCCTCGATCATGGCCACATATAGTAAGCTGGACACAGCTATTGTCATGAAAAAGGTTGACCCGATTGAAAAGTTCCAAGGACAGGTGAGCAGACATGAAGTCTTATGCAATCTATATAGTATGTAATGTATATTCTTGATCTACAAATATAACCCAGGAGCGCGACATAGTGCTGATTTCCACTGTGCGCTCCACTGGAGACTATATAAGCCATAAGCGCATGAATTTGGCCATAGCGCGCGCCCGCGCATTTTTGGTCATATACGGTAATCCCCATCTCCTCAGCGTCGACGACAATTGTCGTCATCTCATCAACCATAGCTTTATTTCCTTATGGAATACAAATACATAAATATTAGAACGAAGAACGAACGAAAAACATACTCATTGTGGGGAAGAAATTTCATGATTACTGTAAGGCGTATGTATATATGTATATGTGTAAATTTCAATTTATAAAGAGAAATCCACATATGTTTCTCTACAAATTGGCCTTTGGTAGCCAAAATGGGGCTGGTAAAAAACTGCCAGGAAGCAGCCGCCCCTTTTATGGTGTCGCTGCGAAGAAAGAGATAGCATGAGAGAAAAAAAACGCCAAATTAGTGTTCGTAGCCGTCGTCGGACACGTCTATGTTTTTCAACACACAAAGCCCGCCAAGCCAGCAGAGTTTGATCTGTAAGTGGTAACAATCGATCATCTCTGCCCCAGGCGCCGCTCCCAGCACAACTGGTGAGCCAAACTGACGCATATGTATCCCTATCTATCGTTCCCACTGCATGCTTTTCCCTTAAGACTGTCTCTGTTTTCGCAGTTTAGTAAAGTTTAATTAAATAAGTGCGCTGCGACAGCCAAAGTTTGGCAGCCCTGTTCTTTTAAACGACAGCACACGGCGGACGGTCACATTGACAAGAGCCGTTAGAGCGGACATGTTTTTCTTGTTGTGTTCTTTGTAAAAAAAAGCCGCAAGTCATAATTTTTGTAGACTGCGGAATTAGATTAAAAAAACGTAATTTTAATGCAAGTGAATGAAATGGCGCCAACCACCATCGAAGAGAATGCTTTTGCATTAGGAAAGCGAGATGTACCGGATCAGTTTCAACTGGATCCTGAGGTTCGAGGCGGTGTTTTTTTGTTTTTTTTTTTTTTTGGTAGCTACAAAAAAAATACCTACTTGCAGCGTCTCTGGAAGACGCATTGGCTCACCGATTATGCCCAGGACATATTTGTGAACATGAAGGAGGCAGAGATGCGTCGTCGTCCCATATTATTCAACTCCATGCAGCTGGAGGAGCGCCCCAAATTGTTGCAGCTTTGTATATTCGCAGCGCAAAAGTACAAACTGAATCGCGCCTCAGTGCATTTGGGTAAATATGTGCGAATATCCTGCTGCTATTGATCACATTCATATTCCCAAATCCAATCCCACTTAACCAGGTATCTACTATATGGATTGTATGACCGACTACTACACGATTAGTAGCGAAAAACTGCCATTGCTGGCCCTCACATGTCTTCACATTGCGGCCCAGATCGAAGACAACGATGCGAGTGTGCCGCGCTACAGCGAACTGAACTGCCTGATACCTGATTCGTTGTACACCGTTTTCGAATACATTGTGTTGGAGCGCAAGGTGCTGGCCAGCCTGAATTTTGAGCTAATGCGTCCCACCACGGCCAGCTTTGTGGAGTTTTTTGCTTGCAGCTTCCTCACGCGCAACGACTTCGCCCACTACAAGGCCATGCTGGAGAACAATCCTAGCGAGCAGAACGATCAATCGCCATTGCAATACGAAAGCTTTGCAGTCATGATGTCGGCCTTGTCGCAGCTGCTGCTTCGCCTGGCAGACTGTACATTGAGCAGTAAGCATCGAGTGACTTTCCTATTAAAATCGTAATCAAGTAAACTATTTTCTCTTTCAGTTACAAGTTTTGCAAACGCGCGACCTTCTTTATTGGCCGCCGCCTGCATAGGAGCGGTGCGTCATCTAAGCGGACTCAAGTGCTGGTCACAGTATCTCTCCAAACTGACATCTTATCCGGAACACGAGGTTGAGCCATTGGTGGGGGAGATCACAAAGTACTATAACTGGCAGCAGAACAGCTCCGTGGCGCCCAATGCCCTGCCAACATACGTAAACATGGGCCCATCTTCGGCAGATACCATTAATCCCAATTGCTCCACAACGGACTCTGGCATTGGCGATTCGATGGTCATAATGAAGGAATCGGTGACCGTGCAGCATGATAACATTACTGTGCAGTTGCAGAAACCTGCTGTTCCAGGGTCCGATCTAGCTGGAGTTGTTCAAGAAGAGCCGCAGGAACCAGCTGACTTTTCTCAGGAAGAGCTGCAGATAGCAGCTGTCTTTTCTCAAGGAGAGCTGCAGGAACAAACTGCCTTTTCTCAGGGAGAGCTGCAGATAACAGCTGTCTTTTCTCTAGCAGAGCTGCAGGAACAGACTGACTTACAATACGAAGAGCAGCAGACACAGACAACCTTAGAGCTGAATGAATTAGCATTAGACTCCAAGGAAAAAGCGAAGAAATTAGATAGAGAAGTGGTCATAAAAGAACTGGAACGTGCTTTCAAGCGCAAGCGTATAGATTATGACTGCCAAGATGAGCCGCAAGCGAAGCGTCTTACCGACTGACCAATTTCAATATTTTGAGCGCACTGAAGATGATTGCTAAGCAAATAGGTTTATAATTTCATAGAAGTACCAGAAACACTTACACACTATTCTTTAAACACATACCCCACGCGGATGGGTATACTTCAAAATCATGCTTTTTCTCATGCGATATCCCCATTCAATTGTATTGAACACTCCCATATCGTAATGCATACACGATTGAAAAGTTCCAAGGACAGGTGAGCACACATGAAGTCTTATGCAATCTGTATAGTATGTAATGTATATTTATCTTGATCTATATAACCCAGGAGCGCGACATAATGCTGATTTCCACTGTGCGCTTCACTGGAGAGCCCTTATATCCCATAAGCGCATGAATTTGGCCATAGCTCTCGCCCGCTCATATACGGTAGTCCCGTCTCCATCTTCTCAGCGTTGACGACAATTGGCGTCATCTCATCAACCATAGCTTTATTTCCAAATGGAATACAAATACATAAATATTAGAACGAAGAACGAACGAAAAACATACTCATTGTGGGGAAGAAATTTCATGATTACTGTAAGGGGTATGTATATATGTATATGTGTAAATTTCAATTTATAAAGAGAAATCCACATATGTTTCTCTACAAATTGGCCTTTGGTAGCCAAAATGGGGCTAGTAAAAAACTGCCAGGAAGCAGCCGCCCCTTTTATGGTGTCGCTGCGAAGAAAGAGATAGCATGAGAGAAAAAAAACGCCAAATTAGTGTTCGTAGCCGTCGTCGGACACGTCTATGTTTTTCAACACACAAAGCCCGCCAAGCCAGCAGAGTTTGATCTGTAAGTGGTAACAATCGATCATCTCTGCCCCAGGCGCCGCTCCCAGCACAACTGGTGAGCCAAACTGACGCATATGTATCTCTATCTATCGTTCCCACTGCATGCTTTTCCCTTAAGACTGTCTCTGTTTTCGCAGTTTAGTAAAGTTTAATTAAATAAGTGCGCTGCGACAGCCGAAGTTTGGCAGCCCTGTTCTTTTAAACGACAGCACACGGCGGACGGTCACATTGACAAGAGCCGTTAGAGCGGACATGTTTTTCTTGTTGTGTTCTTTGTAAAAAAAAGCCGCAAGTCATAATTTTTGTAGACTGCGGAATTAGATTAAAAAAACGTAATTTTAATGCAAGTGAATGAAATGGCGCCAACCACCATCGAAGAGAATGCTTTTGCATTAGGAAAGCGAGATGTACCGGATCAGTTTCAACTGGATCCTGAGGTTCGAGGCGGTGTTTTTTTGTTTTTTTTTTTTTTTTGGTAGCTACAAAAAAAATACCTACTTGCAGCGTCTCTGGAAGACGCATTGGCTCACCGATTATGCCCAGGACATATTTGTGAACATGAAGGAGGCAGAGATGCGTCGTCGTCCCATATTATTCAACTCCATGCAGCTGGAGGAGCGCCCCAAATTGTTGCAGCTTTGTATATTCGCAGCGCAAAAGTACAAACTGAATCGCGCCTCAGTGCATTTGGGTAAATATGTGCGAATATCCTGCTGCTATTGATCACATTCATATTCCCAAATCCAATCCCACTTAACCAGGTATCTACTATATGGATTGTATGACCGACTACTACACGATTAGTAGCGAAAAACTGCCATTGCTGGCCCTCACATGTCTTCACATTGCGGCCCAGATCGAAGACAACGATGCGAGTGTGCCGCGCTACAGCGAACTGAACTGCCTGATACCTGATTCGTTGTACACCGTTTTCGAATACATTGTGTTGGAGCGCAAGGTGATGGCCAGCCTGAATTTTGAGCTAATGCGTCCCACCACGGCCAGCTTTGTGGAGTTTTTTGCTTGCAGCTTCCTCACGCGCAACGACTTCGCCCACTACAAGGCCATGCTGGAGAACAATCCTAGCGAGCAGAACGATCAATCGCCATTGCAATACGAAAGCTTTGCAGTCATGATGTCGGCCTTGTCGCAGCTGCTGCTTCGCCTGGCAGACTGTACATTGAGCAGTAAGCATCGAGTGACTTTCCTATTAAAATCGTAATCAAGTAAACTATTTTCTCTTTCAGTTACAAGTTTTGCAAACGCGCGACCTTCTTTATTGGCCGCCGCCTGCATAGGAGCGGTGCGTCATCTAAGCGGACTCAAGTGCTGGTCACAGTATCTCTCCAAACTGACATCTTATCCGGAACACGAGGTTGAGCCATTGGTGGGGGAGATCACAAAGTACTATAACTGGCAGCAGAACAGCTCCGTGGCGCCCAATGCCCTGCCAACATACGTAAACATGGGCCCATCTTCGGCAGATACCATTAATCCCAATTGCTCCACAACGGACTCTGGCATTGGCGATTCGATGGTCATAATGAAGGAATCGGTGACCGTGCAGCATGATAACATTACTGTGCAGTTGCAGAAACCTGCTGTTCCAGGGTCCGATCTAGCTGGAGTTGTTCAAGAAGAGCCGCAGGAACCAGCTGACTTTTCTCAGGAAGAGCTGCAGATAGCAGCTGTCTTTTCTCAAGGAGAGCTGCAGGAACAAACTGCCTTTTCTCAGGGAGAGCTGCAGATAACAGCTGTCTTTTCTCTAGCAGAGCTGCAGGAACAGACTGACTTACAATACGAAGAGCAGCAGACACAGACAACCTTAGAGCTGAATGAATTAGCATTAGACTCCAAGGAAAAAGCGAAGAAATTAGATAGAGAAGTGGTCATAAAAGAACTGGAACGTGCTTTCAAGCGCAAGCGTATAGATTATGACTGCCAAGATGAGCCGCAAGCGAAGCGTCTTACCGACTGACCAATTTCAATATTTTGAGCGCACTGAAGATGATTGCTAAGCAAATAGGTTTATAATTTCATAGAAGTACCAGAAACACTTACACACTATTCTTTAAACACATACCCCACGCGGATGGGTATACTTCAAAATCATGCTTTTTCTCATGCGATATCCCCATTCAATTGTATTGAACACTCCCATATCGTAATGCATACACGATTGAAAAGTTCCAAGGACAGGTGAGCACACATGAAGTCTTATGCAATCTGTATAGTATGTAATGTATATTTATCTTGATCTATATAACCCAGGAGCGCGACATAATGCTGATTTCCACTGTGCGCTTCACTGGAGAGCCCTTATATCCCATAAGCGCATGAATTTGGCCATAGCTCTCGCCCGCTCATATACGGTAGTCCCGTCTCCATCTTCTCAGCGTTGACGACAATTGGCGTCATCTCATCAACCATAGCTTTATTTCCAAATGGAATACAAATACATAAATATTAGAACGAAGAACGAACGAAAAACATACTCATTGTGGGGAAGAAATTTCATGATTACTGTAAGGGGTATGTATATATGTATATGTGTAAATTTCAATTTATAAAGAGAAATCCACATATGTTTCTCTACAAATTGGCCTTTGGTAGCCAAAATGGGGCTAGTAAAAAACTGCCAGGAAGCAGCCGCCCCTTTTATGGTGTCGCTGCGAAGAAAGAGATAGCATGAGAGAAAAAAAACGCCAAATTAGTGTTCGTAGCCGTCGTCGGACACGTCTATGTTTTTCAACACACAAAGCCCGCCAAGCCAGCAGAGTTTGATCTGTAAGTGGTAACAATCGATCATCTCTGCCCCAGGCGCCGCTCCCAGCACAACTGGTGAGCCAAACTGACGCATATGTATCCCTATCTATCGTTCCCACTGCATGCTTTTCCCTTAAGACTGTCTCTGTTTTCGCAGTTTAGTAAAGTTTAATTAAATAAGTGCGCTGCGACAGCCGAAGTTTGGCAGCCCTGTTCTTTTAAACGACAGCACACGGCGGACGGTCACATTGACAAGAGCCGTTAGAGCGGACATGTTTTTCTTGTTGTGTTCTTTGTAAAAAAAAGCCGCAAGTCATAATTTTTGTAGACTGCGGAATTAGATTAAAAAAACGTAATTTTAATGCAAGTGAATGAAATGGCGCCAACCACCATCGAAGAGAATGCTTTTGCATTAGGAAAGCGAGATGTACCGGATCAGTTTCAACTGGATCCTGAGGTTCGAGGCGGTGTTTTTTTGTTTTTTTTTTTTTTTTGGTAGCTACAAAAAAAATACCTACTTGCAGCGTCTCTGGAAGACGCATTGGCTCACCGATTATGCCCAGGACATATTTGTGAACATGAAGGAGGCAGAGATGCGTCGTCGTCCCATATTATTCAACTCCATGCAGCTGGAGGAGCGCCCCAAATTGTTGCAGCTTTGTGTATTCGCAGCGCAAAAGTACAAACTGAATCGCGCCTCAGTGCATTTGGGTAAATATGTGCGAATATCCTGCTGCTATTGATCACATTCATATTCCCAAATCCAATCCCACTTAACCAGGTATCTACTATATGGATTGTATGACCGACTACTACACGATTAGTAGCGAAAAACTGCCATTGCTGGCCCTCACATGTCTTCACATTGCGGCCCAGATCGAAGACAACGATGCGAGTGTGCCGCGCTACAGCGAACTGAACTGCCTGATACCTGATTCGTTGTACACCGTTTTCGAATACATTGTGTTGGAGCGCAAGGTGCTGGCCAGCCTGAATTTTGAGCTAATGCGTCCCACCACGGCCAGCTTTGTGGAGTTTTTTGCTTGCAGCTTCCTCACGCGCAACGACTTCGCCCACTACAAGGCCATGCTGGAGAACAATCCTAGCGAGCAGAACGATCAATCGCCATTGCAATACGAAAGCTTTGCAGTCATGATGTCGGCCTTGTCGCAGCTGCTGCTTCGCCTGGCAGACTGTACATTGAGCAGTAAGCATCGAGTGACTTTCCTATTAAAATCGTAATCAAGTAAACTATTTTCTCTTTCAGTTACAAGTTTTGCAAACGCGCGACCTTCTTTATTGGCCGCCGCCTGCATAGGAGCGGTGCGTCATCTAAGCGGACTCAAGTGCTGGTCACAGTATCTCTCCAAACTGACATCTTATCCGGAACACGAGGTTGAGCCATTGGTGGGGGAGATCACAAAGTACTATAACTGGCAGCAGAACAGCTCCGTGGCGCCCAATGCCCTGCCAACATACGTAAACATGGGCCCATCTTCGGCAGATACCATTAATCCCAATTGCTCCACAACGGACTCTGGCATTGGCGATTCGATGGTCATAATGAAGGAATCGGTGACCGTGCAGCATGATAACATTACTGTGCAGGTGCAGAAACCTGCTGTTCCAGGGTCCGATCTAGCTGGAGTTGTTCAAGAAGAGCCGCAGGAACCAGCTGTCTTTTCTCAGGAAGAGCTGCAGATAGCAGCTGTCTTTTCTCAAGGAGAGCTGCAGGAACAAGCTGCCTTTTCTCAGGGAGAACTGCAGATAACAGCTGTCTTTTCTCTAGCAGAGCTGCAGGAACAGACTGACTTACAATACGAAGAGCAGCAGACACAGACAACCTTAGAGCTGAATGAATTAGCATTAGACTCCAAGGAAAAAGCGAAGAAATTAGATAGAGAAGTGGTCATAAAAGAACTGGAACGTGCTTTCAAGCGCAAGCGTATAGATTATGACTGCCAAGATGAGTCGCAAGCGAAGCGTCTTACCGACTGACCAATTTCCATATTTTGATTCGGTAATCAGGTTTACCGAAGACCAAAACACTCACAAGCTCAAGCGCACTGAAGATGATTGCTAAGCAAATAGGTTTATAATTTCATAGAAGTACCAGAAACACTTACACACTATTCTTTAAACACATACCCCACGCGGATGGGTATACTTCAAAATCATGCTTTTTCTCATGCGATATCCCCATTCAATTGTATTGAACACTCCCATATCGTAATGCATACACGATTGAAAAGTTCCAAGGACAGGTGAGCACACATGAAGTCTTATGCAATCTGTATAGTATGTAATGTATATTTATCTTGATCTATATAACCCAGGAGCGCGACATAATGCTGATTTCCACTGTGCGCTTCACTGGAGAGCCCTTATATCCCATAAGCGCATGAATTTGGCCATAGCTCTCGCCCGCTCATATACGGTAGTCCCGTCTCCATCTTCTCAGCGTTGACGACAATTGGCGTCATCTCATCAACCATAGCTTTATTTCCAAATGGAATACAAATACATAAATATTAGAACGAAGAACGAACGAAAAACATACTCATTGTGGGGAAGAAATTTCATGATTACTGTAAGGCGTATGTATATATGTATATGTGTAAATTTCAATTTATAAAGAGAAATCCACATATGTTTCTCTACAAATTGGCCTTTGGTAGCCAAAATGGGGCTGGTAAAAAACTGCCAGGAAGCAGCCGCCCCTTTTATGGTGTCGCTGCGAAGAAAGAGATAGCATGAGAGAAAAAAAACGCCAAATTAGTGTTCGTAGCCGTCGTCGGACGCGTCTATGTTTTTCAACACACAAAGCCCGCCAAGCCAGCAGAGTTTGATCTGTAAGTGGTAACAATCGATCATCTCTGCCCCAGGCGCCGGTCCCAGCACAACTGGTGAGCCAAACTGACGCATATGTATCTATCGTTCCCACTGCATGCTTTTCCCTTAAGACTGTCTCTGTTTTCGCAGTTTAGTAAAGTTTAATTAAATAAGTGCGCTGCGACAGCCGAAGTTTGGCAGCCCTGTTCTTTTAAACGACAGCACACGGCGGACGGTCACATTGACAAGAGCCGTTAGAGCGGACATGTTTTTCTTGTTGTGTTCTTTGCAAAAAAAAGCCGCAAGTCATAATTTTTGTAGACTGCGGAATTAGATTAAAAAAACGTAATTTTAATGCAAGTGAATGAAATGGCGCCAACCACCATCGAAGAGAATGCTTTTGCATTAGGAAAGCGAGATGTACCGGATCAGTTTCAACTGGATCCTGAGGTTCGAGGCGGTGTTTTTGTTTTTTTTTTTTTTTTGGTAGCTACAAAAAAAATACCTACTTGCAGCGTCTCTGGAAGACGCATTGGCTCACCGATTATGCCCAGGACATATTTGTGAACATGAAGGAGGCAGAGATGCGTCGTCGTCCCATATTATTCAACTCCATGCAGCTGGAGGAGCGCCCCAAATTGTTGCAGCTTTGTATATTCGCAGCGCAAAAGTACAAACTGAATCGCGCCTCAGTGCATTTGGGTAAATATGTGCGAATATCCTGCTGCTATTGATCACATTCATATTCCCAAATCCAATCCCACTTAACCAGGTATCTACTATATGGATTGTATGACCGACTACTACACGATTAGTAGCGAAAAACTGCCATTGCTGGCCCTCACATGTCTTCACATTGCGGCCCAGATCGAAGACAACGATGCGAGTGTGCCGCGCTACAGCGAACTGAACTGCCTGATACCTGATTCGTTGTACACCGTTTTCGAATACATTGTGTTGGAGCGCAAGGTGCTGGCCAGCCTGAATTTTGAGCTAATGCGTCCCACCACGGCCAGCTTTGTGGAGTTTTTTGCTTGCAGCTTCCTCACGCGCAACGACTTCGCCCACTACAAGGCCATGCTGGAGAACAATCCTAGCGAGCAGAACGATCAATCGCCATTGCAATACGAAAGCTTTGCAGTCATGATGTCGGCCTTGTCGCAGCTGCTGCTTCGCCTGGCAGACTGTACATTGAGCAGTAAGCATCGAGTGACTTTCCTATTAAAATCGTAATCAAGTAAACTATTTTCTCTTTCAGTTACAAGTTTTGCAAACGCGCGACCTTCTTTATTGGCCGCCGCCTGCATAGGAGCGGTGCGTCATCTAAGCGGACTCAAGTGCTGGTCACAGTATCTCTCCAAACTGACATCTTATCCGGAACACGAGGTTGAGCCATTGGTGGGGGAGATCACAAAGTACTATAACTGGCAGCAGAACAGCTCCGTGGCGCCCAATGCCCTGCCAACATACGTAAACATGGGCCCATCTTCGGCAGATACCATTAATCCCAATTGCTCCACAACGGACTCTGGCATTGGCGATTCGATGGTCATAATGAAGGAATCGGTGACCGTGCAGCATGATAACATTACTGTGCAGTTGCAGAAACCTGCTGTTCCAGGGTCCGATCTAGCTGGAGTTGTTCAAGAAGAGCCGCAGGAACCAGCTGACTTTTCTCAGGAAGAGCTGCAGATAGCAGCTGTCTTTTCTCAAGGAGAGCTGCAGGAACAAACTGCCTTTTCTCAGGGAGAGCTGCAGATAACAGCTGTCTTTTCTCTAGCAGAGCTGCAGGAACAGACTGACTTACAATACGAAGAGCAGCAGACACAGACAACCTTAGAGCTGAATGAATTAGCATTAGACTCCAAGGAAAAAGCGAAGAAATTAGATAGAGAAGTGGTCATAAAAGAACTGGAACGTGCTTTCAAGCGCAAGCGTATAGATTATGACTGCCAAGATGAGCCGCAAGCGAAGCGTCTTACCGACTGACCAATTTCCATATTTTGATTCGGTAATCAGGTTTACCGAAGACCAAAACACTCACAAGCTCAAGCGCACTGAAGATGATTGCTAAGCAAATAGGTTTATAATTTCATAGAAGTACCAGAAACACTTACACACTATTCTTTAAACACATACCCCACGCGGATGGGTATACTTCAAAATCATGCTTTTTCTCATGCGATATCCCCATTCAATTGTATTGAACACTCCCATATCGTAATGCATACACGATTGAAAAGTTCCAAGGACAGGTGAGCACACATGAAGTCTTATGCAATCTTATGCAATAACCCAGGAGCGCGACATAATGCTGATTTCCACTGTGCGCTTCACTGGAGAGCCCTTATATCCCATAAGCGCATGAATTTGGCCATAGCTCTCGCCCGCTCATATACGGTAGTCCCGTCTCCATCTTCTCAGCGTTGACGACAATTGGCGTCATCTCATCAACCATAGCTTTATTTCCAAATGGAATACAAATACATAAATATTAGAACGAAGAACGAACGAAAAACATACTCATTGTGGGGAAGAAATTTCATGATTACTGTAAGGCGTATGTATATATGTATATGTGTAAATTTCAATTTATAAAGAGAAATCCACATATGTTTCTCTACAAATTGGCCTTTGGTAGCCAAAATGGGGCTGGTAAAAAACTGCCAGGAAGCAGCCGCCCCTTTTATGGTGTCGCTGCGAAGAAAGAGATAGCATGAGAGAAAAAAAACGCCAAATTAGTGTTCGTAGCCGTCGTCGGACACGTCTATGTTTTTCAACACACAAAGCCCGCCAAGCCAGCAGAGTTTGATCTGTAAGTGGTAACAATCGATCATCTCTGCCCCAGGCGCCGGTCCCAGCACAACTGGTGAGCCAAACTGACGCATATGTATCTATCGTTCCCACTGCATGCTTTTCCCTTAAGACTGTCTCTGTTTTCGCAGTTTAGTAAAGTTTAATTAAATAAGTGCGCTGCGACAGCCGAAGTTTGGCAGCCCTGTTCTTTTAAACGACAGCACACGGCGGACGGTCACATTGACAAGAGCCGTTAGAGCGGACATGTTTTTCTTGTTGTGTTCTTTGTAAAAAAAAGCCGCAAGTCATAATTTTTGTAGACTGCGGAATTAGATTAAAAAAACGTAATTTTAATGCAAGTGAATGAAATGGCGCCAACCACCATCGAAGAGAATGCTTTTGCATTAGGAAAGCGAGATGTACCGGATCAGTTTCAACTGGATCCTGAGGTTCGAGGCGGTGTTTTTGTTTTTTTTTTTTTTTTGGTAGCTACAAAAAAAATACCTACTTGCAGCGTCTCTGGAAGACGCATTGGCTCACCGATTATGCCCAGGACATATTTGTGAACATGAAGGAGGCAGAGATGCGTCGTCGTCCCATATTATTCAACTCCATGCAGCTGGAGGAGCGCCCCAAATTGTTGCAGCTTTGTATATTCGCAGCGCAAAAGTACAAACTGAATCGCGCCTCAGTGCATTTGGGTAAATATGTGCGAATATCCTGCTGCTATTGATCACATTCATATTCCCAAATCCAATCCCACTTAACCAGGTATCTACTATATGGATTGTATGACCGACTACTACACGATTAGTAGCGAAAAACTGCCATTGCTGGCCCTCACATGTCTTCACATTGCGGCCCAGATCGAAGACAACGATGCGAGTGTGCCGCGCTACAGCGAACTGAACTGCCTGATACCTGATTCGTTGTACACCGTTTTCGAATACATTGTGTTGGAGCGCAAGGTGCTGGCCAGCCTGAATTTTGAGCTAATGCGTCCCACCACGGCCAGCTTTGTGGAGTTTTTTGCTTGCAGCTTCCTCACGCGCAACGACTTCGCCCACTACAAGGCCATGCTGGAGAACAATCCTAGCGAGCAGAACGATCAATCGCCATTGCAATACGAAAGCTTTGCAGTCATGATGTCGGCCTTGTCGCAGCTGCTGCTTCGCCTGGCAGACTGTACATTGAGTAGTAAGCATCGAGTGACTTTCCTATTAAAATCGTAATCAAGTAAACTATTTTCTCTTTCAGTTACAAGTTTTGCAAACGCGCGACCTTCTTTATTGGCCGCCGCCTGCATAGGAGCGGTGCGTCATCTAAGCGGACTCAAGTGCTGGTCACAGTATCTCTCCAAACTGACATCTTATCCGGAACACGAGGTTGAGCCATTGGTGGGGGAGATCACAAAGTACTATAACTGGCAGCAGAACAGCTCCGTGGCGCCCAATGCCCTGCCAACATACGTAAACATGGGCCCATCTTCGGCAGATACCATTAATCCCAATTGCTCCACAACGGACTCTGGCATTGGCGATTCGATGGTCATAATGAAGGAATCGGTGACCGTGCAGCATGATAACATTACTGTGCAGTTGCAGAAACCTGCTGTTCCAGGGTCCGATCTAGCTGGAGTTGTTCAAGAAGAGCCGCAGGAACCAGCTGACTTTTCTCAGGAAGAGCTGCAGATAGCAGCTGTCTTTTCTCAAGGAGAGCTGCAGGAACAAACTGCCTTTTCTCAGGGAGAGCTGCAGATAACAGCTGTCTTTTCTCTAGCAGAGCTGCAGGAACAGACTGACTTACAATACGAAGAGCAGCAGACACAGACAACCTTAGAGCTGAATGAATTAGCATTAGACTCCAAGGAAAAAGCGAAGAAATTAGATAGAGAAGTGGTCATAAAAGAACTGGAACGTGCTTTCAAGCGCAAGCGTATAGATTATGACTGCCAAGATGAGCCGCAAGCGAAGCGTCTTACCGACTGACCAATTTCCATATTTTGATTCGGTAATCAGGTTTACCGAAGACCAAAACACTCACAAGCTCAAGCGCACTGAAGATGATTGCTAAGCAAATAGGTTTATAATTTCATAGAAGTACCAGAAACACTTACACACTATTCTTTAAACACATACCCCACGCGGATGGGTATACTTCAAAATCATGCTTTTTCTCATGCGATATCCCCATTCAATTGTATTAAACACTCCCATATCGTAATGCATACACGATTGAAAAGTTCCAAGGACAGGTGAGCACACATGAAGTCTTATGCAATCTGTATAGTATGTAATGTATATTTATCTTGATCTATATAACCCAGGAGCGCGACATAATGCTGATTTCCACTGTGCGCTCCACTGGAGAGCCCTTATATCCCATAAGCGCATGAATTTGGCCATAGCGCTCGCCCGCTCATATACGGTAGTCCCGTCTCCATCTTCTCAGCGTTGACGACAATTGGCGTCATCTCATCAACTATAGCTTTATTTCCAAATGGAATACAAATACATAAATATTAGAACGAAGAACGAACGAAAAACATACTCATTGTGGGGAAGAAATTTCATTATTACTGTAAGGGGTATGTATATATGTATATGTGTAAATTTCAATTTATAAAGAGAAATCCACATATGTTTCTCTACAAATTTGCCTTTGGTAGCCAAAATGGGGCTGGTAAAAAACTGCCAGGAAGCAGCCGCCCCTTTTATGGTGTCGCTGCGAAGAAAGAGATAGCATGAGAGAAAAAAAACGCCAAATTAGTGTTCGTAGCCGTCGTCGGACACGTCTATGTTTTTCAACACACAAAGCCCGCCAAGCCAGCAGAGTTTGATCTGTAAGTGGTAACAATCGATCATCTCTGCCCCAGGCGCCGGTCCCAGCACAACTGGTGAGCCAAACTGACGCATATGTATCCCTATCTATCGTTCCCACTGCATGCTTTTCCCTTAAGACTGTCTCTGTTTTCGCAGTTTAGTAAAGTTTAATTAAATAAGTGCGCTGCGACAGCCGAAGTTTGGCAGCCCTGTTCTTTTAAACGACAGCACACGGCGGACGGTCACATTGACAAGAGCCGTTAGAGCGGACATGTTTTTCTTGTTGTGTTCTTTGTAAAAAAAAAGCCGCAAGTCATAATTTTTGTAGACTGCGGAATTAGATTAAAAAAACGTAATTTTAATGCAAGTGAATGAAATGGCGCCAACCACCATCGAAGAGAATGCTTTTGCATTAGGAAAGCGAGATGTACCGGATCAGTTTCAACTGGATCCTGAGGTTCGAGGCGGTGTTTTTGTTTTTTTTTTTTTTGGTTGCTACAAAAAAAATACCTACTTGCAGCGTCTCTGGAAGACGCATTGGCTCACCGATTATGCCCAGGACATATTTGTGAACATGAAGGAGGCAGAGATGCGTCGTCGTCCCATATTATTCAACTCCATGCAGCTGGAGGAGCGCCCCAAATTGTTGCAGCTTTGTATATTCGCAGCGCAAAAGTACAAACTGAATCGCGCCTCAGTGCATTTGGGTAAATATGTGCGAATATCCTGCTGCTATTGATCACATTCATATTCCCAAATCCAATCCCACTTAACCAGGTATCTACTATATGGATTGTATGACCGACTACTACACGATTAGTAGCGAAAAACTGCCATTGCTGGCCCTCACATGTCTTCACATTGCGGCCCAGATCGAAGACAACGATGCGAGTGTGCCGCGCTACAGCGAACTGAACTGCCTGATACCTGATTCGTTGTACACCGTTTTCGAATACATTGTGTTGGAGCGCAAGGTGCTGGCCAGCCTGAATTTTGAGCTAATGCGTCCCACCACGGCCAGCTTTGTGGAGTTTTTTGCTTGCAGCTTCCTCACGCGCAACGACTTCGCCCACTACAAGGCCATGCTGGAGAACAATCCTAGCGAGCAGAACGATCAATCGCCATTGCAATACGAATGCTTTGCAGTCATGATGTCGGCCTTGTCGCAGCTGCTGCTTCGCCTGGCAGACTGTACATTGAGTAGTAAGCATCGAGTGACTTTCCTATTAAAATCGTAATCAAGTAAACTATTTTCTCTTTCAGTTACAAGTTTTGCAAACGCGCGACCTTCTTTATTGGCCGCCGCCTGCATAGGAGCGGTGCGTCATCTAAGCGGACTCAAGTGCTGGTCACAGTATCTCTCCAAACTGACATCTTATCCGGAACACGAGGTTGAGCCATTGGTGGGGGAGATCACAAAGTACTATAACTGGCAGCAGAACAGCTCCGTGGCGCCCAATGCCCTGCCAACATACGTAAACATGGGCCCATCTTCGGCAGATACCATTAATCCCAATTGCTCCACAACGGACTCTGGCATTGGCGATTCGATGGTCATAATGAAGGAATCGGTGACCGTGCAGCATGATAACATTACTGTGCAGTTGCAGAAACCTGCTGTTCCAGGGTCCGATCTAGCTGGAGTTGTTCAAGAAGAGCCGCAGGAACCAGCTGACTTTTCTCAGGAAGAGCTGCAGATAGCAGCTGTCTTTTCTCAAGGAGAGCTGCAGGAACAAACTGCCTTTTCTCAGGGAGAGCTGCAGATAACAGCTGTCTTTTCTCTAGCAGAGCTGCAGGAACAGACTGACTTACAATACGAAGAGCAGCAGACACAGACAACCTTAGAGCTGAATGAATTAGCATTAGACTCCAAGGAAAAAGCGAAGAAA